GGGAACTCATCATGGCTGAGAGAAGACCGATTAGAACGTAGACGACCACGCGAGTTGGGTAGAGTATTACTTTTCAGTCTCTCTCGTCCTGAATCTAACTGATCACTGTCATTAGAAAACAATGCTTTATGTAAAGCTTCTTCAACTCTTTCTTCACTCGGTGACCGTCCTGTGGTGCGGAATGACTGCAGCAAAGAGAAGAAAACATGTCAGCAGTTCTTTCTGGTTTGCGTTGTTCTAAATCGCACTTGTCCTGTTTAAAAAATATTCGCCTACGCCTCTCTTTTTGAGCCCAATTCTTGGAGTGAAGTTGATAAAACACTCGCACATGTTTCTAATCTATGACATCACTGTGATATAAATAGAATCAGATTTCCTTTCTACGCAAGTCTATGTTAATTAATACACAGGGTACCTGATCTTACCTCGGTGATTAGCTTTCCACGTGTCCGATTCCGCTCTCTTATGTTTTCTCTTTTCTTTTTCTGTTCGAGAACTTTCTCCCTTGTTGTTCTGTATTCCAATGAAAACTCGCTGATAATCTTACAAAATTCATTCACCTACAAAAAAATGAAAGGAAGGTTCAAGTCAGGGGGGAATCACCGCAGACTACAGGTTTGCGCATGTCTTGATTGCCACCAAAGGAATCCCATTTCAAAGTCATTTACCTTTGTTCGTTTAGTAAGACTTGGCGAGACACCAAGGTACAGCAACATTTTCCTAAACCTGAAATAATAAATTATAGTTTCATGAGTTGTTCAGTGCAATGTTGTTTGGGCTCCCTGTGGTACGTTACCTATTCATGACACGCCTGTGAACGACTTTCAAAATGGTTATTCTTTCTTGTGCGTCTGTGAGCAATTCACTCATCCTACAGTAACAAAAACACAATTGAAGAACAAAACAGCAACAGTACAACAAAGATCACATGACTTCAMTAGCAGTCGGGTCCTGGGACGAGCGAAAGATCGATACACGGGAAAAGGTTGGGCACTAGGCTGCTATCATGGTACTCTAGAATACACCACAAAGGAAATGTCATTCCCAAATAGTCTGAAATATACAATTAACAATGACTCACTTGCTCTTCAGYTGCTTCGTGCTGTCGTGTTTAGCAACGATACTGAGATATTCCCAGGATTTTTTACAATTTTCCTTCAACTTCTTCAGATTTTCAGCAACGATATCAAAGTCAACCTGTTTGAATAAGCGAAAAATGTTYAAGATGGGTAAAAAGGCGGGAAACCCGAGATTCAACTATACAACGTCTTAACTACAATATCATCGCAAAATAGATTAAAAACCTCTTGAAATGCTGCATATGTGCTAGAAAAGTCTGGTTACGCGCGCATTGAAAACACRAAAACTAGTTTTGAATTTACAACATACAATATAACATTGTTGTCAGATGAATTAATCACTCGTTCACTTACTCTAGATGATCGATGGCAGGCTCCRAGCTCGCTGTACAGGTCGGTCGTGTTGGGGAATTTATCCATCACCATACAACATAAGTGATATAACAAAGACTGTTTGTGTACCGTGTCCTTCACTTCTGGTACCTTAGACAAGTAATCCAACTGAAAACCCTTTACCTATTTGTAAAGCAATGATACCATGATATAAACACTATTGCAAATATAGATGCTAATATTTAGTTTGTATTCAGGTCAGTGCGATAAACATAAGTGGCGGTAATTTCACCTGTTTTCCATTCAAGAAGTTCCCAATGGCCAAAAGTGTTGCTAGAATATGTTTGAAAGTAATGTTTTTATTGATCTCCTCGAGAGCTTCCTTAAGATCCATCAGAGGCTCGGCTACTTCCTGCAACACCAAGATAAACTCCATTAAAATACCGTCAAGATTCGTTAGAAATAACTTTGTTTTCTAAGTGAGACATCTTGTTAATTCTCAGTGAAAGCTGTAACAAGACAGAATAATAATATCATCACTTATCATCATTATCATTATCAATATTAGCATCAAAATCTTCATCATCATCATTAATGTTACCTCAATCTATAATTCACAGTGACAAAAGTCCATTCTCACAATGGCCTGAATTTCCGTAATATTACACACCCCTGTACACACCTTTTCTAGTAAATCATAGTCGAGTTTAAAGAGCCATAAGTGAAGYCTAGGAGTGAGTTCACTAATTGACGCCATTGTCAGTAGAAACTGCTCAGCGGTGCCCAAAGGAATGTCGGGATTTGCTAACTGTGCTTCTTGAATTTGGGTTTTTTCGTCGGGAGTCGGCTGAAGTTGTAGGATTTTCTGGA